GGGAGAGGAGAGAGAACCAGTTGCCAAGAAGCAGGGTTGGGCACAGCAGGGCTATTCTGCGGAGATCTGGGCTGGCATGCCATGGAAGCAGAATTGGAGACAGCGGGGCTGTTGGTGGAGATCGGGGAGGGCAGGCAGTGGAACCAGGGCTGGCCTGGGAAGATCAGGAGGAACCAGCTGCCCCTTCTCTGAGGCTCTGCCCCTGCTCACTCCATCCTCCATGTTCACTCTTAATAGGTTGAGTGCAGGGGGGGTTCAGGACTGGGGCTGGGGTTCCAACTTGGCACTGTGGGCTCCAACTGGGCACTGCTTACCACAGGTGGCTTCTGGGTGGTGGTGCAGGGGAGATAAGATAAGCTCACCCCTACCCTGAACCACCCTCAAAAGCAACCAGCAAACTCTCTCCATCCCTGCCCCTCCTCCCGCACTCTGTGGAGATGGGGTACAGGGTGGAGGGAGGAGCATCCTGACGACAGCACACCTCTCCTCTTCTTCCTGTGCCCTGCACAGCAAGCAGGAGGCTCCCAGGGGCGACGGGCAGTTCCAAGGCAGGTCAGGAGCAGCATGGCAGTGCTGAGGGGCAGATGAAGAGCCAGCACTTTATAGCCTCCCAGCCAAACCAGTCAGGATCACCTGTCAGAGGCTCCAAGATCTACCAGTAGATCACGATCTATTGGTTGGTGACCACTGGTCTATAGCAGTGTTTCTCAACCTTTATAAAAAAAATGTACCCCTTTTCCCCCCAAAAATAAGTACCCCCAGTACCGACAATTTTCAGACGCACACAATTTTTTTCTACCATTCCAACACATTTGTTTAAACAACTTAATCGTAGCTGGGTGGCCGATGACATTTTTGGGTGTAAAAAGTACAAAAAGAGAAATGCAAAGTGCTCCACTTAGGAAGGAACAATCAGTCCCATACATACAAGATGGGAAGCGACTGTCTAGGAAGGAGCGTGGCGGAAAGGGATCTAGGGGTCATAGTGGACCACAAGTTGAATATGAGTCAACCGTGTGATGCTGTTGCAATAAAAGCAAATATGATTCTAGGTTGTATCAACAGATGTGTTGTAAGCAAAACTCGTGAAGTCATTCTGCCGCTCTACTCTGCACTAGTTAGGCCTCAGCTGGAGTACTGTGTCCAGTTCTGGGCGCCACATTTCAAGAAAGATGTGGAGAAATTGGAAAGGGTACAGAGAAGAGCTACAAGAATGATTAAAGGTCTAGAGAACATGACCTATGAAGCCAGGCTTCATGAACTGGGCTTGTTTAGTTTGGAAAAAAGAAGATTAAGGGGGGACATGATAGCGGTTTTCAAATATCTAAAAGGGGGTCACAAGGAGGAAGGAGAAAATTTGTTCCTCTTGGTTTCTGAGGACAGGACAAGGAGTAATGGGCTTAAAGTGCAGCAGGGGAGGTTTAGATTGGACATTAGGAAAAAATTCCTAACTGTCAGGGTGGTCAAATATTGGAATAAATTGCCAAGGGAGGTGGTGGAATCTCCCTCTCTGGAGATATTTAAGAACAGGTTCGATAGACATCTGTCAGGGATGGTGTAGACGGAGCTTGGTCCTGCCTTGAGGGCGGGGGGCTGGACTCGATGACCTCTCGAGGTCCCTTCCAGTCCTATTATTCTATGATTCTATGAAACATAAAGTGCTGTAAAACTTAAAACAAATTAAGTTTTTGCCAAATTTCAGTTGTGTTGATGTACCTCCCAGACTTCTCTCTTGGGGTACCCTTAGAGCTACTTGTACCACTGAGAAACACTGGTCTATAGCATTAACACAGGCTTTTGCTTATCGGTTAATTGACTATACTATTACATCCCTAATGATTAGGGCTCGCCAAGCGGCGGCAAGCCCTGCTCGCCAGCCGTGCGGTTTCGCACCATTCTGCATTCTGCGCATGTGCAGAACGATCTGCACATGCGCAGATCGCTCTGGGTCATAATCTACTTGCCACGGGCGAATAGATTACATTATTTGTTGAGCCCTGCTAATGATGATGACCTTGGTTTTCTCCACACCATCTTAATGCACGCTACAGGGCTATGTGCACACTGGCGGGTTCTTGCTCAAGAACTCTTGCACAAGAACATGTCCACACGGCCACGTGCTTTTGTGCAAGAGATGAGCTTTTGCACAAGAGCATCCATGGCAGTGTGGATGCTCTCTTGCGCAAGAAAGCTCTGATGGTCATTTTAGCCATAGGGCTTTCTTGCGCAAGAAACCCCTGCCATGAGTCCACACTGCCCTCTTGCACAAGAGGGCTTACACTTGTTAGAAAAGAGCATAGCTCTTGCGCAAGCGCAAGCCCTTTCTTCCCATGCTTTACTGTAAATCTTCTTGCACAAGAGTGGGCGGGCCATGTGGATGCTCTGCGGGTTCTCAATCAAGAACAGTTGTTCTTGTGCAAGAACCCACCAGTGTAGACATAATCCAGGAGTTGCATAAAGAAATCACAATTGTATAATTAGCTCAATACCATCCTTGCTCTGAAGCAGTGCCTAGCAGATAAAATGTTGCCAAAGTGAAACAGGAAGTGAATTATGTAATCTGGAACAACTTGCCTTAAATATTTGTCTCCCATACTCAATCATCTGCTTGCGTCCTATATCTGGATGATGCCTTCACCCACACCATTCGCTCTCTTTCCCCATGTTCATACAATGCTCTCCTCTGGCCAGCATTGTCCCTATCATCTCAGCTTCTGCCTTTTTATTTAATTTTGTTAGACTTCCTATTTCTTTCATGTCCCCTTTTTACCCTTTTTCTCTCATCCTTACTCCATTTCTACCTCTCATCTATTTAGTCACACTTCTAAACCAGGGGAGGATACCTTCATTATATTCTCCACATCTAATATCTGTAGCAAGCTAGAACTTATTCACAAATGGACCTAATTTCTCCTATAAACTTTTTCTAATAGGTTATGTACTTTAGTGCCATGCCTATGCAGTTTTCTTTGTGATAGAGCTGACTCCTTACTATTGAGACTAACCTAATTTACAAATCCCCAACATATAGAAAGTTTGGATCTAATCACTGCAGCTTGGGTAATAAGAGTGTATTTTCTCCTTGTGCCAAACTTCTATTTATGACCAAGATGATCATCCTTTTCTGCCATATACCTTACAGTCCTATGAGATTGTATGGTATTGTGAGAGAATCTGTTTAGTGTACCTGTGGTACTGGTAATAGTCAGAGCTTTGCAGACCAATTCCAACCCCAGTTTGCCTCTGAGAGGTTCTAATAGCATCTTATCCTTTGGCAAATGAAAGGGTCACTCAAAAAGATCAGCAAGATGGGGTAACGCCCTTTTGCTCTCAGTATTTTTTTTTCTTAATAGTGCCTTCCCTCCATTCACAAAGTCCATCTCTTTGGGGACCAAACAGTCCCAAGGCCACTGCAGTGATTGGGAAAGTAATTCACATATTATTTAGCTGTCTTTTAATGCAATTTAATAGAGGGAGACAAGGAAGGGAAACCACCTGGAATAGCGGTATCACTGGGAACCACTGCTCTCTGAAAGTGTATTAGGGATATCAGGTTACTGTTTTTATTTTAACATGGAAAACTATTCTTATGCAGCATATTGCAGCTGTTCATTTGGTTTCATTTGGTACAAAATAGTACAGGTTCACTAAATGTAAAAAATACAACTTGCTTAAATAATTTTGAATCCTCTATAAACACAAATTTTGTTTAAAAGTATTAAGCACCTTCATAACAGCAGCAAATACAAGATGTCTGTCTGAAAGCATCTTGAATGCTAATTTTGAATGTGGCAGTGGGTTGAACAAGTCGGGGGGGGGGGGGGGGCTAACAGCAGTAAAAAATGGTTCTTCAGCAAAGATTATTGTGCACCCAAGATGAAGCGGACCTATGATTAGGGAGAAGGCCAATTGGCAGAATTTTTTAGGCACCACAGCGAGATGGAACACCAGGAAGAATACAATTTAAAAGAAGAAAATAAGAAATATTGACATAATTATCTTAGATTACAATCATAACAAAAACAGGCTGTTTTAATAAAGTCTTCAGATTCCGAACAACATGAAAAACGGTCCTTAAAATTCAGACCATGTACACCCCACAATATACTCAATCAGATCTATGTAGAAATGGCACCTTAAAAGCTAAGGTGGTAAACAGTGGGGCAATTTCTGCCATAAGTCAAAGAGAGTCTAAGGTTTGCTCAAGAGCTTCCTTTTTCTCAATACAAAAATTCCTTGAGGAGAGGTCATCAAAAGCAGCAATATACTTCAGCAGAAAGTACACAATCTTATGGCTCCATTCTTGTCTTGTTACCTATATGGAATTTTCTTCTCTGTAATAAAGATAATTGTATATGTTTGAGACTAATGTGAACTGAATTCAGATAACTGTGTAGTTTGTGTGAAAATATGGGCAAGAGGAAAGAAAGATGATTTTTTGCTTCTAGGAATCCTCTATACCAGGAAGAGAAAGAAATATACTAATTAAAGTGATAAGTAGGACAGTGGAGAGCAACCTGAATCAGCATAGAATGCTACAGTGTGGTCATGAAGTTAGTGCGAGTTAATTATAGGAATACAGCCAGTGGGGGGAATACCTAAATACAAAAATTAATTTGCAATTTGAGAATATCATTTAAACCCATGACCACTCACATTCTGCTCCTTTTTTGCCTATGATCTTGAAAAGGGAGAAGACACAATGGATTTAACAAGTTTTTGCTCAGTGAAGAAGACTATGTCTAATGCTTAACCTTGCCTGCCCCCACACAGCCTCTGCTTACCCTTGTGCTAGAGTGCAGCAACCTTGATCATGCCTGATCACAGTTTGCACATCTTTGCTTGAGTGGCAAAAGACTCAGCTACTGCAACAATTGTGACCCCCTGCATTGCTTCTCTTTTCCTACTTCTTGTTTCCCTTTTTCCAGAATATAGCTGCTCCCTTGTACATACTGCCAGACTCTCATTCCCCCAGAGAGACAAGATGACTGACAGCTACAACTATGTTCTGTTCCTCTTCCACTGATGGCCAGCAGCTCCAATCTCAATGAGTCCAGTCATGGAAGGGATTTCTATTCCTCCTTACTCTTGTGTGACAGCAATCTTTAATAAAAGACATTCAACTGTCCCTGTCTCACTTCGAGCTTCTTAAACCTGGGAGCCAGGAAACAAAAGCTTATATCATTTCATCTGCTGTCTTTCTGTGGCCTCCAGTGGGCCATAGCCCACAGTTCAGGAACCAGTGCTCTATCACTTAATAGCCATCACAAGCATTTAGAGTTCATGGTGTTTCCTATTTAGGCTAAGTGAAGCTTTCTCTAAGATGTCAGTAGTGTTCTCTGTAAGTTGTGCACTTGTGCGGCTGCTCAGAGGAGATTCAAATGCCGCCCAGCTGATTAGCAGAGGGCTCATAGCTAGTGCACATTCACATGTGCCTTGGTGCACACGGAAAAATTATTCCATACATGAATGGAAAAATCCACACATGGATGGAAAAGATTAGGGGGAACATTGGAGGTCAGAATTACATTTTTTTCATAGGATGGCTCCAGACATAGAAACTAAGACAGAATGACTAACTCAACACAGCCATATAAACTCCCCAGATTGGTATAAAACAAGGGAACTCAAAGTCCTGGGGTTGCAATTTATTAACTCCCCTATTTATCATGTAGCAGCTCTCTGGAATGGAAATGTTTTGAAAATGTTCTGTCAAGGAGCACTTTGAATGAATACTCTTAAACAGCACACTTAAAGAAGGTTATATAAAAATAGTGTACACAAATGCTATGTACAAGGTCAAAGACAAAAAGATGGAAAATGACAATAGAAGTGAATTACAATAACATGAATTACTGGAAACTAACTAAAAAGCTTTAGTAATAGAACAGAAATCTTAGTTTAAAAAGGAAAAGGTCTGCTTGGGTGATGGTAAAGCTTTGTTGACATTTCAAATTAAAAATACAAATCATCATTCTACTTTGAAAATAGTTGTAATGTTGAAGTACCTGATTCCCTGTTAGATTTCTTAGGCAGCCTAATACAACTTTGTGTCAACTAGTGCAATGTTAATTACAATAGGCTGGATGCATCGAGGCAGCAGTAGTCAATAAGTGGACCACAGGCAAAATCTGGACTGCCATGCTTTTGTACAGACCCTGGCATCTTTTTATTTACTAACATTTTTCTGTGGAGTATGCACCTTGACTATATCTTGATCAAGAAATTTGGACCTTAAAAAATAATTGACTACTCCTGCCTTGAGGAAATGGCTCTCCAGGGAGAGAGGGGAGAGGCAGTGTAGAATAATGGAGGGAATCTGACAGAAACACACACAAAGCCTCCCAAAACTGTGAGGGTACAGGAGGAGGAACACAAAGAGATACTCTTCAAGGGGTAAAGACTTGTCCCTATGCAACTGACACATTCTGCTGGTTGTGAATGATTACTTAGCCAGAGCTCTGGCAACTCTTTTCTCCACTCTGCTCTTTTGGGTCACCATGCATCCCTTGAGGAGTAGTTAGAGAACATCTCTTGGGTGCAGCAGCAGCAATGCTGCCCAGCCATGACTCTGCAGTGCTGGAGCATGCTTCTACACAGGGGGAATCTTCTATTGCTTTGCTAATCAGTGGTAGAACAACTTAACATCATTCAGCATGTGGAAAGTTTACCTTTCATTCCTCAGGATTGTGTCCATGGTCTCTCTGAAGCCTCTGTGCATCTGGATTCTTGGATAAAGAGAAAGGGCACAGGGTATGAGTTCATACATCCTTCATACTGTTCCATTCCCTGAGAATCTCCATGAGACTCAGTTGATACTGATCAGACTTCCTATACTGGCTTAAATATAAAATTACTGCTATTCTAGATGCATCCAGTTAACTACTCGACTCATTTTAGTTGGATTAAAAGGCAGTTTACCCTCTCATTGTTGGGAATCAAACAACCATTTGTTTGAGAACTGCAATCTTAATCTTGTCTGTCTGCCACTGCATTTGTAAAATTGTCATCACTGCAGCACTTAAGCCTATGTTTGGTATATTATACAAAAGTTGTTAAGTGGTAACAGTGTGCATGGCATTGTACAAGACAGACTGTTAGAGTGCACTCTTCCACACATACCAAGGAGTTCTTAATCTTTTCTGATGTAATGGGAGTGACTGATTTTTATATGTATTAGCTTTATCACCAATTGACTGTACGTACCACATTAAGAGTCATTTGCCTGACTTCAGTCAAGGTCTGACTTTTTGAAAACCTTAGTTGCACACACAGTCACTACTCATCAAGTAATGTTCTTGACTTCAAAGAGGCATGGGATATAAGGGAAAAATAAGATTGAATATAGGATAGCCTTCTCATTCCTGGCCAATGTGAGTTGCAGAAATCAGTGTCCTGGTCCACGCCACTTCCCGTAGCTCCCATTGGTTGGGAATAGCGATTAGTCGCCAACAAGAGCTGCAATCAACCTTACCTGAGGAGACACAGGTAAATATAGTTGCAATGGCCTACCGGGGCTAATCCTAGTGAACTGCTGCCATTTTATTGTCCACTGCTGCTCCAGCAAGTATTACTGTCCCTTCTTCTGTATAATATCCTGACCCTCCTTTTATAAGGATCAGTAAGTTAAGTTGCAGGTATGTTTCCAGGGCTCTGATCCTAGAAAAATACTACTCTTTAAATCTATGTTACCCACACACTAGGTTATGTCTACACTGCTCCCGTTTTGTGCAAAAAAATATGCAAATGAGGCAACAGCTAAGAACAAGAGGCCTCTACAGCATGGGCTGAGAGCCAGCTGGCTTTTAGCTCAAAGGGTAGAGGCTCCCATACTAAGTTTTAGAGATCCCAGGTTCAAATCTGCCCCATTACACCTACACGAGGGTTGTGGTAAGACATGGGAGGTAACTCTCTTGCCCTACTTGGCACTTGTGAGGCCTCAAATAAAATATTGTATCTAGTTGTGGGTTCCATCCTTTAAGGAAAATTTAAAAATGACCTTAGAGAGCAACACAAATTATTGGTTTAGAAAACTTGAACACCAGGAAAGGTTTAAAAAATGGGCATATTTAGTCTTGCGAAAAGAAGATTGGAGGGTAGGGAAGTCTGATAGTCTTCAAATATACTCAGTACTCTTAGAAAGAATAGGTGATCAATGTTCTTCACGGCCGGAAGGCAGGGAAGGATGGATCAGTTTAATCTGCAGAAAGGGAGATTTAAGGTGGATATTAGGGCAAACTTTCTAATGAGTAGTGTAGTTAAGTTGTGTAATAGGCTGGCAAGGAAGGTTGCAGGATCCCCACCACGGGGGGTTTTCAGAACAGGTTGGACCAATATGCTCTAGTCTAGGTCAGTGGTCTCCAACCTTTTTACCCAAGATCACTTTTTCCAATTTATGTGCCCCACTTCCTTCCCACCCTTTCTTTGGGGCCCTGCCTCTGCTCCTCCCCTCCTCTGAGGCCTCACCCTGCTCACTCCTCCCACCTTCCTCCCCCATCCTCACTCACTTTCACCAGGTTGGAGTAAGGGGTTGAGGTGTAGGCTCTGGTCTTGGGTGAAGGGATTCAGAGTGTGGGAGGGGCCCTGGGCTTAGCCCAGGGTGTGAGATTGCGGTCCAGGAGGGGTTTCAGAGTGCAAGCTCTGGGAAGGAGTTTGGGTGCAGGGGAACTCACATCTGGGGCAGGAGGCTGGGTACAGGAGAAGGTCCAGGAAGCAGGCCCTGGCTGGGCACTATTCAGCTGAAATGACTTCCAGGTGGTGGAGCAGTGGAGTTAAGGCAGACTTACTCCTGCCCTGGCCCTGCACCACTCCTGAAAGAAACTGGCATGTATAGCAATGGCTCCATGGCATCACATGCTGCCCCTCATCTACGGGCACTGAGCCCATAGCTTCTATTGGCCACAGTTCCCAGATATTGATCAATGGGAGCTGCAGGAGTGGTGTCTGCAGGCAAGGACAGCATGTGGAGACCCCCTGCTCTGCCTTTCTCAAGGACTGCAAAGACATGTATTTCCAGGAGCAGCAATTACCACTGGGATAATTACTCCAGCCATGGCAGGTTAGGCATTTGAGAACTCACTACTCAACGAATTAAATTTAAGCGTAAGAGAGAAATGAAAATTATGAAATGCACAGACCAGTCAAAAAAGCAAAAACAACACAATTTACAAGCAGTAAAAGAAATAACAACAGCCCACATGTGCGTTGGGTCAGGAGATGAGAGTGAACCATGAATCTCTCTCTCTCTCACTCACACACACACACACACACACACACACTGTGAGAGCGGAGATTTGCATTACCAAGCTCCCTCCATCCCCTTCTCTCTGTGTGGAGACAGGGTACAGATGTGGGGGGAAGAGGGATACCCTGACATCAACACCCCTTCTTCTCCCTCCCAAGCAGGAGGCTCCCAGCCGGGCAGCTCCAAAGCAGAGGGCAGGAACAGCTGGCAGTGGGTGGAGCGGCAACTGAAGTGCCAGCACTTGATCCCTTCCTGGCCAAATCCCAGGATCAACTGTCAGAGGCTCAGAGATCCAGATCTACTGTTGGTGACCACTGCTCTAGGTTTACTTGGTCCAGCCACACCATAGGGCTCTTCCCTCAGCTTTGGTGCCCCCTTAGCACATTTAACGCCCAGGCCTGCAAACTCCTCCATGAGCAGCCCATGGCAATTGGGGCGGCTGGCGGTGAAGCAGCCGAAGAGTTCGCAGGGCTGTAACGGGGTTGGCTTCTCCAACCC